GGGGAGGGCCAGCCACATTTCGTTTGAGGCGGGCTGGAAGGAGCGGGAGCCGACAGGAGATGCCGCGTAACGAGGAATAGCTGCTGAGGCGTGATCAGATAAAACATCTTCTCAGGGAGATGAAAAAACTGTTGACGGGTCACTTAAATATTTCCTCAGCTCTGTCAGAGAGGCAGAAAGAGGAAATTGCTTTTAAAAAAAAAAGATGCCAAGGCAGATTATGATGACTGTTTCCACCTGTCCTGGGTGATGCCTATGGCCTCTGCTGGTGGATGGGACCCCGGGGCACTCGTGTGGCAAGGGCTGCAGCAGAGGCACGATCCCACCAGACCCATCCTGGGTCCGTCTGGCAGCCCATGGTGGTTGCAGCTAACCGTGAATGTTTTCTTCTTCCTGGGGACTGGGGAAGGATCCATCCTGACACATATGGACAAGGATAACTCTAGCCTAGTGGAAAGAGAAGGTTCAGCCTGTACCAGCCACTGCCAGTGTTTTTCCTGATGGCCAGAGCCAGGCGTGGCTGTGATTGCAGATAGGAATTTATCCTGGGAATTCATCTAGTCCCTTTGGGAGCCTGTTCCTGGCTGTTGCACTCACACCACCCCATGGCAGCTCTTGCAGAAACACTTCTTTTGCCTTGTTACGCAGCCGAGAAGGCTGCTGTGCTTACAGCAGGGCTGGGAGACCTTGGCGTGAGTGCTCACCTCCAGCCCCAGCTAGGGCACGCTGACATGGCCCAGACATGGCCATCAGCTGCTCCCATCTCGTTCCTTCTGACACAGACGGGCTTGGCAGGAGCGATGCTGCGATGGGAACACACTGTGTCCCCCTGCTCATCCCCTGCTGCCGCCCAGCAGTGCAGACGCAGGGCTGTGGGGGCTGCAGGCATGATGGGGGCTACATGACATGCTGCAGACTATCTCACATATGACAAGTGCAACTATAAGCAAAATCTGTTGCTATTTCTGTGTCCTTAATAGTTCAGGGCCATGAAGAACTCCCTAAATATTCACTACTTGTTTTAAGTGTAGAGGAGGGATAGACTCGTGAGCAGAGACACAGATGCTGTGAGGCCACACCAGCTCCTGCTTGCTCTCCCCATGCACTGAATTACCCACATCTATGAGCAGGCACAGATCCTGTCCCCTGGCTTGGCCCCACATCGGCACACCATAGCTGGGATGCTGGCACTGCCACCAGCCCTGACTGGCAACAGGGAAACAGGGAGGTGCCGGCCTGGGATCCAGCTTGGCTTCCCCACCACCCTCCAAGTTCCTCCCAACTGCCTGGAAACAAAACCACTGCAGGGTTTGGGTCTTCCAGAGCTAATTAAACCTTGCAAAAGGTTTCCTGACCACTCTGCTCAGTGAAGTGAAACCTGTGGGTGGAGGGCTGAGATGGACTAAAATCAACATGATGCCATGGGAGCTACTTCCAGAATCACCCCGAGTTGCTGCAGCATCCCCAGGGCATGTGATCAGCAGGGTGATGCTTACAAGATGATGTTAGTGAGTGATCTGTGTCACCCAGACACAGGTCTGTGGGATAAGGATTGGCCAGCTCAGGTGAACTTATAGAAAAGCTATAGGGAGAGAGCGAGCCGTGGCTGCTCTGCTGTGTCCCTGCCAGCTGTGTGCTCCAGGCTGGAGCAAGGAGCTGATGTCACCAACAGCTCCTTCCGAGGCTTTTTCAGGGCACTGGTAACTGCATGTGTGACATGGTTTGATTGCCACCTCATTAGACCACTGACTCAGAGGGTTGGGCCAGCACCCTTCCATCCTGACATCGCATTATTTTTAGTTGTTGTAGTTGTTTTAGGGGGAAAAAAGACCTGTTTGAGTGCTCTCAGAGAAGGCTCCAGCTTGCAGCTGTCCAGAAGCTCACAGTCTGGTTCCGTTAATTAGTTTTTGGTGTAAAATCAGTGAAGGAGTGGAGCATGGGGCTGTTAGGAAGGGCTCAGGTGGGACCTAGGGTCCCAAGGGAGATGCTGGCATGCAGCATCCCTGGAGCCCCATCTAGCAGATCCCACCTAGGTCAAGATGTGGCTGGGGCTGCCCGGTGACACCGAACCACAAGGATGGCTTCAGTGGCGTTTGCAGATTACTCTATGATTGCATTTAACTCCCAAAGTCATTTCAGCCTAACTTGCAGCAAGGGTTTAGGAGACAAATAGCCCTGTGCTTATCCGCTAGTGACATGGCACTTGCAGTGCGAATGCGCAGGAGCCGTTTGGCAATTACGGTGGGAGAAAATGGGCAGCGATTAACACATCATCGAGGAGCAGTGTCCGCCTCTGCTTCAGCACGAACCAGTGAGTGCTTTTTGCAGGCTCGTTTGCAAGAGACGGGGGCAATGTTTTGCCCTGAAATCCCTTGACATCTCTACCCCCTTGTTTTCTTTATTGGTATTTATTCTGAAACGCTTTAGAAATATCAGTGCTATTTACAGAGACCAGGTGCTGGGTTTAACGTGGCCTGGAGGAGGAGGAAGGGAGGATTATGTGAGTAGGTGAGTGTGATTTAAAAAAATTAATATTAGGGAGAGGAAATTGTAGGATCCCGTGTTGCCTCTTGGGAGACCCCCAGCATCTCTCTAGAGCATCTCTGAGGACTCTGTCCCTCCTTCCTGAAGTAAATTCCCACTGGCTCCACCGGATTCCTGGTGCTAAGGACACAGGTGCCTTGCCAGCACCCACGGGCTCCCTTGCACCACATGAACTGTCCCCAGCATCAGCAGGGTTGTGGCAAAGAGAGCAGAGCCTGGCATCAGGGCACATCAGGGGCCAGGGCCATGGTGACACTGACTGTCCCACACGTGCTGCCTCATGTGTGCAGACCTCAGCTGCAGCATGGAGCATGGCTGGGATCTCGTTCAGCTGCTCCTGGGGTCTGCAGGGCTTGAAAAAGTGCGTGGCAAGGGCTCTGTGATCCTTAGGGGTACCAGTGGGAGAGACATCGTTCCAGGAGATCTGCTCTCCGTGCTGTGCCGTGCCGTGCTGTGCCTTGGGAGTGCTGGAGCAGGTGAAGGCAGGACCAGGGGACGAGCTCTCCTCCTTGGGCATCACCCTGCACCCTCTCGCCCCCACTGCAGGAGCGGGGCCACCGTGTGTCAGAGGAGATTCAAGCTTTTTGGAGTAGCCGATGGAAGATGAAATGAATAACAAAGCACCTTCTGGATGGCTGTTGTTAGTCACACTCACTTCTGATTAAAGATCATTAAACATGAAATTAGCTCGTTTGTGTTACGGGTCTCCAGGGGGTTCCTTTAATTAGGAAGTGCAGATGGCCACAGACCCCGGGAGACGGCAGTGCTGGTGAGGGGCAGGGGTGTGTGCGGGACCGGGAGTGGCACGAGGAGAGCATCCGAAGAGAAATTAATTTATTTATTTTCCTTGTTGTTTTAAACCCCTCAGCATTTCACAACAAATCACAGATAATTAATAAGTACGTTCCCTTAATGACTAGGCTTTTTAATAGCAGAAATTGGAAGATGCTGCGTCAATTTTATTTTTCACCATCTCGGTGCTGCCTGAATGCCATGATTAGAGTCACAGAGCCTACGGGAGGGACCGGCCCCTCTGCCCGGGAGGATGCTGGAATTGCCCTTCACCATCCGCATCCCGGAGAGATATCAGCCACACGGCCTGACGGAGTCCCCCCACCACCGGTGTCCCCTTGAGAGCAGCATCCTCGCTCCAGGGGTTTTTCTATCTCTTGGCAGCCTTGTCTTTTCACAGCCCAGAGAAGCAACAACAAACTGCTCTAGGGAGCGGGTTTGTGGCTAGAGGACAACGCCGGTGAGGGGTTACTGGCTGCCAGTCCCGGTGGAGCAGGTGGTGCTGGCTGCTTGGTGAGCTGCTGGTCCCTTTCCCTGGTATGAACCTGTGACTGGGCTGAGCTGAGTATCCTGGTGTCACCAGCCTGTCACCAGACTGAGTGTCAATGGTGACACTGGCCCCAGCACAAGCTTATGGCCAGGCTGGGCTGGATGTCACATTGCCACCAGCATGAGCCCGT